TGAAGAGATTCTTCTTCTAATATATGTTAATATATTCAAGACATTAACATATTTTAAATCATTATAATTTTATCAATAACATCTATTTATAATTTTCTTGATGATATTACTATAAAGTTCTAAACAAGGAGAAGTCTTAGCAAGTAGTGAAAATCACTAGATTGATATGCCGAGGCAAAGCAAATCACTGTTGCCCAGACTGTGGACCAGGGTGCCTCACTGGCTAATTTTGGAATAAAGATTGGGAGGAACTGTTGTTTTTTGAGATCTAATCTTTGCAAAAGAAAAAAAGACACAATGAGTATCAAGAGAAACTCTCCTACTTAAAACAGGGAAATGAAACTACTGAACCAATACAATATCCTGGAAGAAGCAAAATGATATTCCAAGCCACTCTGCTTCCAACTTGCTAAAATATGTCTGAATATTTCCAAGAGGAGCATGGTGAGCACCCAGTGGCTGGAGGAAGAAAGCTGGGCTGCAGATGCTAGACCGAGTGGTAGAGCCCTCTCACCTGGGTATTTTGAAGAGTGCTCGCATGGGATGCAGGTCAGCTAGTGGAGGGTCTCCATCCCCTAGCTCGATGGCCGTGATGCCCAGGGACCACGTATCACATCTGGCATCATAAGTGGTATCCAACTGCTGTTCACATGCAATCACCTAGTAGAAAAAGAAAAAAAGAAATGAAATTATGACTTTTAACAATCATGTCACAAGGTGTTTAGAACTATGTGTATGTGTTCAAACCGATGAAGTCTGTAGTTATGAGTAAAGGCAGTAACTTGAGAGAGTAAAAGCTCAAATTATTATCATTACTAGTGTTTTTAGTCTAAGAACAGAGAATACCTTAGCAGATTTGCAAGTTTAAGGGAAGAAGCCTATGAAAAGGAGTATTTTTGAAAATGCCAAACAGAAAGGGGACAGAAACAGTGTCTCAAATGGAAAGAGATGCGGTCAAATGCACAGATAAAGATTGTGCAAAGACAGTCACTCAAAAAACATCTGAAGAGTAAACAAAGACATTCATCTCGGCAAAGATAAAGAACATATCTATAATGACTTAAAAGTGAAGGAGGTAAAGAAAAATAAGTTGAGAGCAGTCTAGTTAAATGGCTTTAATGTTTTCTGGCAACTAGAAGGCAAGGGTACCTAAGGGAGAAATGAGACAAGTTTGAAGGACCGCAGAAGAGTTTATGCCAACAATAAAAAATAAACAAATAAAAGTGAACATTGATAAAGATTTATTAACACTTATCTCGGAGCACACTAAACTGTAAAACTACAACTGGGGTTTTAAAATTTTCACTAATCAAAGAACGCAATTGAGAGACAAGAAAAAAGGATTTTTTGCAATATTATAAAATACTGTTACATAGAAGAATGATTAAATAATTAATTCACAATTTATTTCTATATATGTAAATATAGATACCGATGGAATCCGAATACTAATTGTAACATCAGTGAGCATAAAAAGAAGATTCAACTTGACATTTTAAAAACCATTTTTTACTTTTTAGAAATGTTGCATTTTGTGAATTCCAATGCACAAAACAAATAAAAAATGATTTGGGGATGATGGCAGATTAGAGTTTTATCCTTTAACTACAGTATTATGAATGATACATAAAAATAAAGAAATCTAAGACGCTGTCTGGAATAATATTTCATCTTTCTGACTCCATTTAACATCAGCTTAACACAGTAAAATCCCTCTGTGTTGGCACACTGGAGTTTAGTTGGTAACATTTACGCATATGTCATCTAGGTAGGGTGACTCCTTCATAAATATACCCTTATTCATACCTGACACTAACAGCAATGACAGAAAACAGTTTGTAAACATACGAGTATGACTGAAAAATAAAAAGAAGGCAGTGATAAACATATCATGTAGGACAAGAGTTACTCCAGGGAAGAGGCAAGAAGATGGGATAGAGGAAGAACATAGAAACAAATGTATGCTATTGGTAATGTTCTGGTTCTGGTTGGGTCGTGGGTTCACGGGCAAATAAACGAGGTCATAAAATGATCTAAATCTAAGTGTTTGAAGGCCAATAATAAATATGTAAATAAGTTATATGTATACATATATATATGTGGGTATATATATGTGTGTATTTGGAGGGAGGAAGAGAGAGAGAGAAAGAGAGAAAGACAGACAGACAGACAGACAGAGAGGGGACATCATCTTACACAGCACTTCTCAACTTTTCCTGCCAAAGTGATTTTAATATCATAGGAGAGTGAATTGCTAAGATCGGACAACACAGCCTGAATTACCAGGAGTAAGCATAAGCTTTCCGAGTTTTATATTAAAAATTCATGTGACAAATATCTATAGACGTATTATTTATAATAGCCAAAAAATAGAAACAATCCAAACGTGAATTAGCTGGCAATGGATAAACAAAATATGATACATATACATACAACGGAATATTATTCAGCCATCAAAAGGAGTGAAGTATTGATATACGCTACAACATGGATGGACACTAAGAGAAAGAAGCCAGATACAAAGGCCACATATTGTGATTCCATTTAAATGAAATGTCCAGAACTGGCAAATCCATCGACAGAAAACAGATAGATTAGTGGGTGCCTAGTGTAGAAGACTTTGGGAGGAGATGTGAAGTGACTGTTAATGAATATGGGATCTCTTTTAGGGGGAATAAAATTGTTCTGAAATTAGATTGTGATGATGGTTGCACAGTCCTGCAAATATACACTAAAAATCATTAAATCGTACACGTTAAATGAGTTATATGGTATGTAAATTATATAACAGACTTGTTAAAAATAAAAATACATTCATATGAATTTTTCATAATGTTGTATAATATATCTTTGTCTGCCTTAGTGTAAAACTGCCTTTTGCCCCACCGGTTGCTTTTTTTCCTGGTTAAAATTGTCGCTTCAGGATAATTCATTATTTTATGGCTTCATACGTGTGGTCCGGGAATATCTCCTCACAGGCTTGGGTGAATGTATGCCCTAATTTGCCAGAGACATTCTTGGTTTATGCTTGCTTTACTAGAGTCATTATGAACGCCGTTCCCTTTCATCCTCCAAAATGTCCTGGCTTGTACAATACATTATATAGTTACCCTGCATGCTAACATACATGTACTCCAGTTTGGGAAGAATGGCTTTATATAACCAACAAATGCTGCACCTTTGATCTAGAATTTTATTTTAAAATATCAAATTGAGAATTTCACTTTTCAACTGATAATTGATTTGAACAAGCTTTCCTGACTGTCAAGTAATTGTATATTAAGAAATATAAATTTCAATTATTAACTCATTTAATACTTTGGTAATTAAATTTTATTTTTATTTTTATATTTTTAGAGGAGGCAACCCTTGGTTGACCTCACAGATTGCAAGGACCTTCAGTTTACAATCTCTTATTTTTACTTTGTTATTTTTTTTTACGCCTACGGCACCTGGTCTGCCTAGGTAGTCTTCCATCTAAATACTAACCAGGCCTGACCCTGCTTAGCTTCCAAGATCAGATGGGATCGGGCTCGAGTAATTAAATTTTAGATAGATCATAATATTTCCTTTTACTCAGAGTGGCTCTAAGATCCATTAATAAAAATTGTTTTCACTAAATGACAAACTTAAACATATAATAATGGCTTTGTTATTATAAATTAAATGAAAAAATATAAAGCTAGACTATTGATTATTTATTATTAATGATACGATAATTATATATTATAGTATTTAATGTGAATTATATGATAATTATATATTATAGTATTTATTATATTAATTATTAAGATATGTGAATAAGATTCAATGTTTGGTATTACTGTTATATCTTTTTAATTTCTCACTTTTAAAATTTTTTCACAAGC